TAGCCAAACTACCAAAATTACAAAAAAAAAAAAAACCTCAAGTAAATAACATTAGAGGTGAAAAAGTAGATGTTAAAGCTGATACTATTGAAATACAAAGGCTCATAAGAAACTGCTTTGGGGCTGGTGTTGTGACACAGCAAGTTAATGTGTGGCCTGCAATGTTGGCACCCCATGAATAGCAGTATCAATCCTAACTGCTCTACTTCCAATCCAGGTTCTTGCTAACGCACTTGGGAAAGCAGTGGAAGGTGGCCCAGTTTAATGGGCCACTGTCACCCGTATGTGAGACTTGGGTAGAGTTCCTGGCTCCTGGCCTCCACCTGGTTCTGGGTTGACTTTGTGGAACCATTTTTGGAGTGAAGCAGCAGATGGAAGATCTCTCCCTCTATGAGCAACTGTATGCTAACAAATTGGAAAACCTCAAAGAAATGGGTTAATTCCCAGATACAGAAAGCCTAAAGAGATCCTTAAGAAGCAATGAAATTGAAAGATTAATCAAAAGTCTGCTATCAAGGAAAAGTTCAAAACCTGATAGATTTACTATTGAATTCTGCAATACATTTAAAGTGAGACTAACTCCAATACTTTTCAAACTATTCCAAAATATTGAACAGGATGTAGTTGCCAAACCCTTTTTGAGATCAGCATCATACTGATTCCAAAACTGAACAGAGACACAACATGAAAAGACTACTACAGACCTATTATCCTTGATGAATATAAATGCAAAAATTCTCGACAACATACTAGCAAAGTGAATCCAACACTCATCAAAAAGATTGTATGTCACAATCAAGTGGAATTTTTCCTAGAAATGAAAGAGTGGTTCAGCATTCATAAGTCAATAAACAAATAATATCAACAGAATGAAGAACAAAAACCATTTAGTCATCACAGCGAAAGCATTTGATAAGATTCAGCATCCTTACATAAAAATGTAAGTTAGCTATAGATGCAACCATACCTAAAAATATTAAAGCTATATATGATAAATCAACTCTCAGTATATCATACTGAATGGGGAGAAGTTGAAAACTTTTCCCATCATATCTGGAACAAGACAAGTTTGAGTACTTTCACTCTTATTCAATATAGTGTTGGAAAAATTAGCAAGAGCAATTAGGAGAAAGAAAGGACATCATAATTAGAAAGGAATAAGTCAAAATATCCATATTTCCAAATGACTTGTACGTGGGAAAACCTAAACAATCCACCAGAAAGCTGTTAGAACTGATCAAACAACTCAGTAAAGTTGAAGATACCAAAATCAAGATACATAAAACTAGCTTTTTCACATACCAGTAGTAGAACTCACTGAAAGATAAGTCAAGAAAGAAATCCCACTTACAATAACCAACCTCAAATAGTAGGAGTAAATTTAACCAAAATAATTAATTAACATGAAAATTACAGAATGCTAATGAAAGAAGTTATCAGGGACACAAGAAAATGCAAAGATGGAAGATTTAACATCATTGAAATGTTTATACTCCAGGCGGCGCTGGCACACGGGTTCTAGTCCCGGTCAAGGCGCTGGGTTCTGTCCCGGTTTCCCCTCTTCCAGGCCAGCTCTCTGCTGTGGCCTGGGAGTGCAGTGGAGGATGGCCCAGGTGCTTGGGCCCTGCACCCCATGGGAGACCAGGAGAAGCACCTGGCTCCTGCCATCGGATCAGTGCGGTGCGCCGGCCGCAGCGCACCGGCCACGGCAGCCATTGGAGGGTGAACCAACGGCAAAAGGAAGACTCTATCACTGTCCACTCTGCCTGTCAAAAAAAAAAAAAAAGAAAAGAAAAGAAAAGGAAAAGAAAAGGAATGGTTATACTGCCTAAAGCAAGCTACAGATTTGATTTGGTTACCAAATCTACATTGGATTTAATTCTGTCATTGGCATTTATGATGTAGTTTGAACATTTTTACAAATAATTTGCTTTTTATTTTTATTTCAAGGATGAGTTCCTATCAATGGGTATAATTTCTCCAGTACAAAGATAATTGTAGCTGTCTGTGGATTGTTAATTTGGCATTGGATGATTCACAGTTGTGAGAGCAAAGGAGAGAGTTGTAGGTGCTGAGGTCAGGAGGAAGCTAGAAGCAATATTTGCATAGGGCCTAAGAAGCTATTGGAAATTACTTTTTTAAAAAATTAGAAATCTGTTCAAAGGATTTGAGCGAAGAATTAACTGTGTGAGGAATTCTGATGTTACTAAAAAGAGGAAAATAGTTCAACACTGTAGAATTATACCAGCTCTAGATACAAGATACGCATTGCTCTGTGATACTTCAGTAGGTTGTTAAGTGTTGCAGATTTATCAGGACAGAGATAGAGAACTGAGTGTTGGCTAATACATTACTGATTGTGCAGGGAGATAACACCTTGTGTCTTACCTGATTTCAACAATTAATAAAAATGTGTACAATTGAGGAAAAGAAGGTGAAGTGATATATGTGGTGATATTACCTAAAGCACAGATGCTGCTTGTCATTTGATATGGTGATTCCTTGGTAATCTCATTGCTAAATTGAAAATGCAAGTTAATAAAGCGTGTAACATACTGCACTTCCTCAATATGCTAGCTTAGTGGCACGTTACACTCTAGAGTGTTCTTCATTTGTCCTTGTGTTTGTGTGGTTGACGGGGAGCTACAAATCACTACTGCTGGCTAGCATCCTGAGAGAAAATAGTGTGGCATATTGCTAGCTCAGGAAAAGGTCAGAATTCAAAGTATGTGTCCTATGGGAATGTTTATCACTTAATTGCCTTCCTAAAGTTGAAAAATTGTAAGTGAAGCCATCACAAAAATCAGACCAGTTGTATGTATCTTTGAATGAAATATAACCATTATTTAACAATAAAGTGACTTATGAAATGTTAACATGCATATCTTATCAGGTAGATATGAAACACCTGCAGCAGCAACAGGATTACATTGAGAAAAGGCAATGTAAATCAGAGGCATCGCTGAGAGATATGGCACAGTTTTACCTTAAGTTAAACAGCAAGATGCAGGATATAATGAACAAGTTAGATGAAATCGTCAGAAAAGTATGTATGATATCTAGCATGTCAATAAGAATTCTAGAGCTTAGAGTTTCCAAATACAAATATCATAAGACCCTGCTTTATTTGAATATGAAAATCTTGGCACAATTTTATCATTATGCACTTACTTCTTAAACTCTGATATCCACTATTTATTGTTATATTCTTTATTAAAATAATACTGTTAAAAACTTGAGGAATATATATCATTTTTCACAGAAAATGCACATTTTTCTCAATATTTTCAGTGATATCAATTGTCATGATAAAACAAGGCAGATTGAATCAGAGGATAAAATTTAGCAGAATTCTCAAAAAATACATTTCTTGTTTCACTTACGTGAATGGATACAAAACCTATATTTATTGATCCTGTGTATTTCAGAATAAATTTTCAAAATACTTTATACTATGCTGAAATGCACATTTTAAAATATTTTACAGTCTAATTGAAAACCCTGTTTCTCATTCACATATATGTTATTTATACACATTGTAAGTGTGTATAATATATGTTATCTATACACATAATAAATGTCCGTCTTTATGCATGGAATATTCATATCATGTGTAGTCTGTACTTACAAAATTTAAAATTAAGAAAATTATTAATATCCTGCCTTTGGAGTTTTAAAAACTGATTTATTGTGATATAGTGGTGCTTCACAAACTTCTGGGGATATGTGCAGCATGTATAAGTTATGAATTGAATTCACACATTTTACCTTGAAACTGACATCTCTTAAGCCTACTTTTTGCACAAATGTTTTTATGACTGCTCATGTATTTCACCTATGTAGACTTCAACCATTCAGATTAGTAAAATTCAATATCCATAATAGGTTCCCAAAGTGGGATATCCATCACCATAATCAGTTTTCAAATATTTCAGTCACCATAAAGTAAAACTCTGTGTCACTTATGCATCACTCCTTCAGTCCTTTTTTCTTCCTTTTTCCTACAAAAAGGAAGTGTTTTTTCTCCAGATTTGCCTGCTATGAATGTTTCATATACATAGAGTCCTACAGTATGTGGCCCTTTATGACTGGCTTTTTTCACTTAGTATACTAATTTCAGGATCCATCCATGGCATAACATTTATCAATACTTCTTTTTATTATTAAATAACATGTTATTATCTAACAGAGTATAGGTCTGCTGTAAAATTGTCTGCTCATCAATGCATGGACATGTAGAATGTTCCCACTGCATGCTGCCATGGACATTCATTTCCAAGTTATTGTATGGACGCATTCAATTATTTCATTGGATTTAATCCAACTTGGAGTTAATTGGGCCTGTTTTCTCATTTCTCCACCATTCTTCATGCTATCCTGTCTTTGTTTCTGTTCACCTAAACATATTTATCCAGACCCAGCCCCAAATTTCCCTTATGTCAATAAGCTTTTCCTTCTGTCACATTTTGACCTTACACTTTTCAATATTTGTCATCTAGTTTTTATGGAACAGCATAGACCTTACTTTTAAACTGCTTTTATTTTTATTCATGGGAAATAATCTTGTCTGAATATAAATTTTCCTCAGGGATTTTATCTGACATGGATGCCACCTATCTTTGTGTAGATTGAAAATATTTTAGCTTATCAATTGTTAGACTAAAAGTATAAACAATTTATATCATTTCAGAAATTTATTCTTTTTGAATATGTATTTATTTGAAAGGAAAATTCAGATAGAGGGAGAAGCTGAAAGAAAAAGAGATTTCCTCCATCTGTTGTTCTAATCACCAACTTTCCACATTTGTTGGGGCTGGCCAGGTCAAAGCAAGGAGCATGGAACTCTATGCAGGTCTCTATGTGGGTGGCATAGACCTAAACACTTGGGCCATCCTCTGCTGTTTTCCCTGTCAATTAGCAGTGAGCTGGGTCAGAAGAGGACCAGCAAGGGCTGGAATGCCAGCATCACAGAGGCAGCTTAGCCCACTGTGCCACAGTGCTGACCTGCTGAATTTTCTTCTTTGAGGCATTGACATAAGCATTATGAATAAAGCTTTAAGGTGAAGCTTTTAAATTTTTTAAAGTTGTCCTTTAAGCAACATTTTATAAAATCAAAACACTTGATTGCTGTAGAGGAGAACTTATCTATCAAAAACTCAGTCTATACTCAGTAAGAAAAAAAAACTTAACTATTTTCTTTCATGAACTAGCCAGAACTGGGATTTATTGTTTTATAGCTCTTTTTTCTGCTGGCTACAGATTCACTAATAGGCCCAAGTGTATACTGTTAGGCTATCTACAGAGTGCTTGTAAGGCAGCATAAGAATGAATTGATTTTGGAAACTTCATTTAGCCACTGATTCCAATATTTTCAGGTCTGTGCTTTGAGTCTGTGTCTTACGGTCTACTAGGTATGTGCTACTCAATCTAGGAATCCTGTTTCCATTATCATTACCCAGGAAGTAGTGCAGAGAGTAAGTGATCAGTAAATTATAAGATGAAAAAACACTGGTGGCTAATGAAATCATTGACAGTTCTATGCAGTACTGGGGAAGTAGTCTGGCCGCCTTCTTCCCCATTGGGAAAATAGTAGAAGATGGCCCAAGTGCTTTTAAATTGTGAAATCAAGGGTTAAGTGTAATTTGTATAAAAGACCACTTTCATTTTCATGCCACCTTTTTGAAATGTCAAAAATTTTTCAAAATACGAAATGAGTAAGAACAATTCTTGACCAGATCATATTATTTTAGTTATTGGACCGAGTGATGTCTGTTGGCAAGTCAGCTTTGCAGTTACAGCATGAATGTTGCCATGAACAATATGCAAATGAAGAAGTGTTGTGATTTCCAATAAAATTTTAATGGCAAACCAGGTAGTGAGCAGTTTGTACCAGGCGCTGGTAATGTTTTTAATCCTTTGTTTCAGTTCCAAGTATCAGAAAATCTACACCAAGGAGTGGTAGAAAATGTAAAGAAGACACAAGATTATCTTGAACACTACATTTCAAGGTACTATGCAAACTAGCTTGAGTCATAAAGCACAGTAGCCATGGACAACAAGAAACAGGCCGTACTTTTCAAATTTTAAGAATTTACACAATATTGCCTTCTGATGCTTAGTCAGAAATTATGTGTATGCTTAGATTGATGGGTGAAAATATTTTCCATGTACATTGTAGGCTTCAGTCTGAAATTTTGGAAATGAAAGATATCGTCAAACTGCATGCTGGCAGTATTGAAGAGCTGCAGAAAAATCTGATAAGACCAAGTTCAGTAAGTCAGTCTCTTAATCTCTTTCACACTGAGAAGGTGTTTCTGTATCTTTGCTAGGAGATTGGGAAAATATTTTGCCTAGTAAGACAAGTCTCATTGATAAGTATATTTTCTGTATTTATACAGATACTATTTGCTACTACCAATGCAAATCTGCTAACCCTTGTAGAAGGAATGGACTGAACTCATAAAATTGTTTAAGTAGTCAGATTACATTTTAAAATTCTAATTGTGTTACATTAGAAAACAATATTTTGTTTACAGTGGATCTTTTATATCCTTTGATCATTTGATGGACATTTCCATGATTTCTACCTTTGGTCTACTGTGAGTAGTGTTGCGATGGTCATGGTTGTAGAAATGTCACATGGAGTCCCTAGTAATATTTACAGTACCTTTTGAAGTGTGAATAAAGTCAAGTGATGACATGGTATGGAATTCTGAATCTCTGGTTAAAATCTAAACTCTTCATTGGGATTTAATAATAAATTTATTTGAGAGTGTAAGTTGTATTCCTTATCCAGAATGGATACATGCTTTTTCACCACAAGGAATGTTACATCTTTGGGTTCTTAAAAGCAAATAGGTGTCATTGGTTATCTAGAAATGACTACTCTGGCGTTATGGCCTTACAGAGTTTCATAATGCTCTGAACACTGCAGGTTCAGAAACAAACTTTTACCTGTTAGTCTACGTTCATCAGCCTTTATAAGGACTTAGTTCAGTCTCTTAAAAGATAGATGTGTAATCCAGGATTCCAACTGATGGATAGTGAATACCATATAAAAATTTATCAAGTAAAACAGGATTACCCTGTCTTTCATGTCCTTCTTCATAAAAATTACTCTCACAAGATTACATGTAAACACTTATATGGAAGAATGAGATTATGGATTTTACCAATTAGTTTCTTTAAGTGACAATAGAGTGCTGTTGCATTCTGCAGGTATTTATATCTACAGAACAAGAACATTTGTGTTGACCATTTTCGTGAATTAGGAAACATTGAAACATTCTTTTACTCTAGACTTCCAGTAAATTAGTTCAAACTATGTCCATGACAGGGTGTTGATGGATTTTTGTGGATAAGAATGCCAGATGTCCCTTTACCTTAATTGTCATACTGAAATATGAGAAGGAATTCAACATTCAAAACTTTGTTGCAGTGCCAAATAGCTATGGAGTTTGTTAAAGATGAAGGATTTCTTATAAATTCTTGGAGGAATTAGTTAGGAATATGTCATAGAATTATTTGTCAGTTGGAAATCTTGGTATCAAATGTTTAATAAGAGTTGGTTCTACCCACTCAATCAGTAGCCACTAAAGTTTTCCAGAATGCTCTCATTAAATGATTTTTCTAACCAGAGAATTAGGAATGTGTTACTTCGACTCTTTGTATTTCTAAAAGGACATATCGAGAAATGACTACTCCAGCACTGTCTTACATAGTGACAGAGCATTCTAAGCACTGCTGGTTCAGAAACAGACTTTTCTCTGGTAGTCTGTGTTCATCAATCTGTATAAAAACTTAGTTCAGTTTCACAAAATATTGAAATATGATCCATGGATTCCAATTTATAGGTGGATAATGAATACTGTATAACTATGTACAAGAGAAACAGGGTTATCATTCATGTCTTTATGTCATAAAACTTGTGATCACAAGACTGCATGTAAACACTGATAACTGAGCAATGAGGTCACTGATTTTACTAATTAGTTTCCTTAAGTGACGATGAATAGATGGCAGTTAAATTATACAGATCCTGTTATCTGCAGATGAAGAACATTTATATTGACTGCTCATGTTCACAAATTAGGAAACACTGAAAGATTATTTTTTTCTAGATCTATAAAAATTAGTTCAAAATAGATGACATGACAGTATGTTGATAATGGGTCTTTTGTAGATAAGAATGCCAAGAGATGTCTACTTTATTACCATACAAAAATATGTTAAGGAGTTCAACATTCAAAGTTAGATGCAGTACCCAATAAGTTGAGTTTGTTCAAATAATGAAAAAATTCTTCTAAATTCTTGGAAAAATTAGTAATTTATCATGGAAAAAAAGAAATATTATCATTTTAAAATTTATTCCAGGAATCAACTGTTTAATAAGTTTCTTACCCACTCAATCAGTGACCCCTAAAGTTTTCCAGAATGTTCTCATTTCATGTATTCTCTACCAGAGAGTTAGGATATTATTTCATGGACACCATTTTGTAGTAAAAAGTATGAATTGGGAACTATTCATAGCTCTGCATGACTCCAATTGATATAGTTGAATGTACATCTGACAGAACTTCAGAAGACTGCCTTAGGATCATAGCTGTATGCAAGAGAGAAGTATTCAAAAGAAAGCAGAGACAGACTATAATCTGAAAGTTTTGCAGTAGAAAAGAAAAGCAAAATGTTTATTCTGGCCAAATTCATAACACTGAGAGTGGTCCCAAATCAGAAAATAACACTATCCTCAAAGACATGCACATAAGAATCAGCATACAATATAGAGGATTAGCTGTCTACAATAGTGATCCACATTAAAGAAGTATTTATGAGCATGTATAAGAATAGGGAGGGAGCACACTGATAGTCTGGGAAAAGATAGTTTAATAAAAGTGGAGATACTGTAGTTTCATGGAAGAGTTAGGGAAAAAACTGCAAAGGAAACTCTTCTGGAACTAGTGGGACATGGTGGACCTATGTGGAGGGCACGGGCACCCACGGCTCGGGACCCCAGCCACTGAGTCTCGGCAACAGCGCTGGAAAGGGAGGTGAGGCAAAACCTCAGTAGCCAGAGACAGGCAGGAAAGCAGCAGGAAGAGCCTAGAGGGAACGAGGCTTGAAGCCCCATGGGGGAAAGTTCACCAGGCTAACTAGAGGAGAGAAAAAAAAATAAAAGGGACTGGTATGGACACGATTCTTTCTCTCCACTCACCTTACAAAGGTGAGCAAGTCAAAGAGCAGGTGCCATTTTGGATATACATAAAAGCTGCGCCACCTCAGGGCTGCGCCCGCCCTCAGCCAGGCAAAAAACTTGACTCTGGTGGGGAGAAATAACAGGAAGTTAAGACCTAGTGAATGTGTGGAGCTTATGAACTGGCACTGTGAAAAAAAAACTGAGGGTGTGTGAGGAAACAGAATGCCTGAGATGTGAGTACTCAGTGGGAGATGCCACAAACTCAGTAACCTTGGCAACCCGGTGGGAGATTGCAAGGGAATCTGAGCTTACACTGAAGACTGCACAGATCCTTTGTGTGGTCCTTGGGACAGAGCAGATGAATATTATACCCACAAGGGCTAGTGCTCACTGATTGCCTTCAAGAATAGCTCAGCTGTGCATAATTACTTCCCTTCTGAATAAGAGAGAGAGAGAGAAGATTTACCACACCAAACCTGGGTGTGTCCACCTTTGGCACACCCTTAAACCTTAAGAACTGAACAGAGCTCTCTGGCCACACCCATCACAAACCTCTAAAGATCCACCAAAATCAGACAGTCCACTTAATCTAGAGTCATAGTATAATGAGAAAAGCCACCACAGGGATGGGAGAGGGAGCGGGAGATGGGATGGTTGCAGGTGGAAGGGTGATTATGGGGCGGGGGGAAGCCGCTATAATCCGTAATTTCTTTTACACTGCCATAAATGTTGAATAGTGATACATGTATTGTTGTGCCTGAGCGAGTGCTGACAGAGGAGCGCCACACACTGAAAAAGTTTTTAAAGTCCTTTATTGCCGGCGACCGAGAGTGGGTTCATGCCCCAGAGAACTCTCAACCCCGAGGCCCAAAGCTACAGGGTTTATAAAGGCAAAAACTGCAAAATCGGGAGGGGGAATACATGGTTGCTAAGATCAAAAGAGAGTACATAGTTACTGGGGTCAAGATAACCTAAGACCTAAGTGAAATTAATATCCATTATAATCTTGACAATACCAGTTACAATCTTAACAATTATCAATTATGATCTTGACATTAACCCAATTATTAGTTTTAATTATATATAAGACATAGACAAATCACATCTTTATCATTAACCCAAGTGCAACCTTTCTACTTTCAAGCTTGAGCAATCATGCTAGGGGGTTTCTGTGCTCTGCCAAGGGTGATGTAGTGCACTGCTATTGTCCGACTATTTGAGATCATAGTTTCAGACCAGAGTTTCACGGTGGGGGGGTGGGGTGCTTTACCAGAATGGAGTCTCAAGTGCTCCAAAATGGAGTCCCTAGTGTCAAGGTGCTACTTCAGTATGATTCTGAATTTCAACTATAATCCTAACTCTTCAGTGAGTACTTGAGGATGAATTATTTTGATACTGTGAATTTTATTCCTAATCAAGAATGGATACGAAATTATTGTGGGATTTATTTTCACCATGGAATATACTTCCTCTGGATTTTTAAAAGGAAATAGTTGTAAGAGAAAAGATAAAAATGACTACTATGCGGCCAGCTCAGTAGGCTAATCCTCCACCTGCGGCGCCAACACACCAGATTCTAGTCCCCGTCGGGGTGCCGGATTCTGTCCCGGTTGTCCTTCTTCCAGGCCAGCTCTCTGCTGTGGCCTGGGAGTGCAGTGGAGGATGGCCCAAGTACTTGGGCCCTGCACCCGCATGGGAGACCAGGATAAGCACCTGGCTCCTGCCATCAGATCAGCGTGGTGCACCGGCCGCAGCGACCGGCTGCGATGGCCATTGGAGGGTGAAGCAGTGGCAAAGGAAGACCTTTCTCTCTGTCTCTCTCTCACTGTCCACTTTGCTTGTCAAAAAAAAATTAAAAAATTAAAAAAAATACAAAAAAAATGACTACTATCACATGGCTTTGCAGAGTGACATAGTGCTACCACGACAGCATGTATAAAAACAAGCTTTTTCCCTACTGTGATCATCAACCTTTACACAGGCTTACTTTATTCAGTTCATATCAGTGTGCAATGGCTATTAAGCTTGTTCATAATTCTTGAGGTATTTTCTGTAAATTCTGTAGCAATGACTTAGGAATATGGCATAGAATTATTAGTCACTTTCAAGGGTACCCTCTCTGTCAAAAGTATAATAATCGATGGCATTTGACCAACTCAATAGCAACTAATTTTCCAGAAGGTTCTCATCTCACAAATGGAGGTTCTCATCTACCAGAGAGTACTTGGGTTGATATATTTTATGGACACAACTTGGAAGAGAAGAATTGGATTGGGAAATAGAGATATCTGACTCAGGCCTCCAAGTAATATAGTTAGGTTTATGTCTGAAGAGAACCTCAACAGACTGCTAAAGTTGTATCTATGGCAGAGGGGATTCCAACGAAAATGGAAGTGACCCATAATTTGATGCCTGTGAAAAGTCTTGCATTAGAAAAGAATTTCAACATGAAGTATGCTGGTCAACATCCTAACAATCTAGTATCAATATTAGAAAACAATGCTAGGATCAAAGACACACCCTTTAGAATCATTAGCAAATGTACTAGACTAGTTGTCTGCAAAGGTATCCCCATCAGGTAACGGTTTGTGTGGGTGTAGTTGAAGATTTAACCTATGAGAAATGAAAGAGAAGTAAGAAATGGCCTGAGCGATGAAGTGAGGCCTAGGAGTATAGATTAAGCAACTTCAGGTGAAGCACTGAGACTTAAGGAACTTTTGAGACAGACTTAGAAATGGAATACAAAGAGTGGTTGAGTAGAATCCAGCAGTCACTGCATTTAGAAGTGAAGTGGGCTTATGGGAGCCAAGAGAAAGGTCTAATCACTAATTGCTACTGCTGCTGTGGATGAAAGCAGTGGAAGCACTAAACAAAGCATCCTGGATATGTCTCAAAAATATTGCATTGAATTATACCCTTGGAAAACATATTTAGGGCCAGGGAGTTGCACAGTCATCTATGTGACCCCACAATTATCTGTGTATCACATAGGACAGTACAGAAAAAAAAACGCACAAGAATCAAATATGGTAAATACTTGTATTTTATAGAAAAGGTAAACTTTGTTTAAAGTTAGGTCATTAATGTCAAAGGAAAAAAATGAAACTTCTAAACACGGTTAAGAAATGATCTTGTTTATCTCATCCTGAAATCAGGTGAAGATGAAATATGTAGTAAGAATCAAATGTGAATTTTTCCAAAAATCCTATTAGTAGCATTTGATTTAATTAAACCTTGAATATCTTGAATATTCAAGTTTTTGGACAAACATCCCTTGCATATTCTGTAACTCTTAAGATCCTTAAGGTGATGTTGAGGCACCACCTTAAGATTTTATGAGGCCTTGACAATATGTGATGGTCTCAGTCTTTGTGTCATCTTTAGACCACATTTGCCTGGTAGCACTCTGCATTTTATTTTTTCCCAGAAACCACTCATGTAGAATCACGCAGAGATTTGGTATGTGGGGATGTCGTAATTCAGATAGATACTTGAGCCCAGTAAGTTGTAGTTCCTTTATATTTGTTAGTCATCTTTTAGCTTTGCCTCTGAAATCAATTTTACTGTCAGCTGTTGTGTAACAAGAGGCCCCTTTCTTCTAGGCTTTGGAATCATTTTCTCTTTGAAGTCTTCCCTGTAAATGTCTTCAAGGGCCCTCAGGCTTCCACTCACAGTCTCTTTGGAGTCCTTTTGGTTTCCATCCTTACTCCTCCCTAGGTCCTTTAAGCTGCAACCACCCTCTAGTCTGAAGGCATCTGACATGTTTAAGTCTTTGTTTCATTTTTTATTTTCAAAATAGCAACCGCTATCTTTAGCATTGGTGTTTGTGCCAGTTTTCTATGAGTGTCTAGCAACCTACCTGAGAATCTCTTTGGGAAAGTTGTTTGGCCTAGAGGTTAAGATGCTCACATCTCGTATAGCAGAATCTTAGTTTGATTTCTGGCTTTGGCATCCGAGGCCAACATTCTGCCACTACAGGCCCTGGGAGGCACAGAAGGTGTTTCAAGGTACAGCTCCATGCCACCTACATGGGACCACTGTAATGAGTTCTGAGTTCCACTCTCCAGGCCTGGCACTGGGAGATTTGGCTAGTGGATATAGAAGCTACCTTCTGCCACAGACTTTCTGTCCCTCTGCCATAAAAAAGATCACTTATGGGGCTGGTACTGTGGTGCAGTGGGTTAAAGCCCAAAACTGCAGCACCAGCATTCTATATGGGTGCCGGTTTGAGCCCGGGCTACTCTGCTTCCAATCCAGCTCTCTGTTAATGCTCCTTGGGAAACAGCAGAGGACAGTCCAAGTCTGTGGGTCCCTGCATCCATGTGGGAAACCTGGAAGAAGCTCCTGGCTCCTGGCTTCAGATTGACTCAGCTCCAGCTATTGCAGCCATCTGGAGAGTGAACTAGTGGATGGAAGACCTGTCTCTATATATCTCTATCTCTCTATGTAACTCTGTTTTCCAAATAGATAAAATAAATTTAAAAAATGATTTACTCTCTCAATATATTCTTTTTTCAGAATCTACAATTTAAGCAAGGCATAAACGTCACTCAGCTGGGGATGATTTGAAGCTGGGGCTACAATCATCCAAAACTTGTTTGTCCACCTAATTGCATTAAACCGGGCTTTTGGCTGCACATTTAACTGCATTTAACTTTGGAAGTCTATGTGATGATGTGCCTTGTTGCTTGGGGTCCTTTATAAATTTTACCAGAAAAATAAAAATGGAAGCTGAATCACATTCTCTGACCTAGCAAAACTCACTCAGCATCAGTGATATAGTCTTAAGTACTAGCAACCGATTATTATGGTCTGCTCATATTCAGGAGAGGGAACTTCACGGAAGAAATGCCAAAGTATTACAGACATGCTACTATAAATCTGAAACATTACTCACTTAGTAAAAGTAATTTGATAATGGCTTTATCTAAAAGAAATTCATTATTCCCAACTCAGTAGCATTGAAGTCCTATTGAGTTTTTGTTGTTGCTGCTCTGTATGCTCTATTTTGTAAAAAGCTTCTAAAGATGATAAAACAGTATTAGTAAGTCATTTTCATTCCCAAAACTATACACATCATGCTCCTAGTGTTTTATGCTATGAGATGTAATTGTCTCAATCCCAAGGAAAAAGTGCAATTTAGAAGATGTACAGTGTTCAATTTTAAATTAATTTGATTCTAATTATCTTGTATAATGATATTACATTAGTAGCAACACACAACTGATTCAGTTTTAGTTATAATTGTTTACTTCAGGGGATATGGAAGTTAAATATTTTAATCTTCTTTTTCATATCTTTAAAATATTCCCTGTGTCACTTAGTCAAATTGGAGGAAATAAATATACAGATAGAAATGATTTGAAAACGTATATTTTAAATTTCCTTTAGTTGCAGACATCGGAACACACCAGAAAGAAAGCTGTTCAGGAAGAATCTGACAAAGAACTGGAGAAACCCAGGCAACTCCACGTACAAGTGGGAGAAACCTTAACCTGCAACCTGAATAAGTAAGTCAAGTCCCAGAATCACAGAAAATAACTGATGTTCATTAATTTGACTCTGAGGCATAGTTTTTAGTGAGACAGTTTCCTGAAATTAGTATGAAGTGAACCTAACTAGACAAAATAATTCTACAAGTTAAGGAATAATTTTGAAAAATAAATGCTCTTATTTTTTAGCACAGAAAAATGTACGTAAAAGTTAGGTGCATGTGTTTGGGGGAACATAACAACTTAAACCCACAGGGCTGCCTACTGCTACTACTCCCACTACCGCTACTGCTGCTACTTGTGGTGCTTCTGTAAGTCTTGACACAACCTGGCACTTGTTCAGTTATCTTCCCTTGACTGTGATCATTGGTAATACTTAAGGAGGGTGTCTTGAAACCAACTCTTCTTTGCAGTTTTCCTCCTCTTCTTGAGAAAGAAAGACGAATGTGGAAAGGAGGGGAAGTATAACTCGCAGGCTGGTTAGCATTCTACCTCGGGCATTCTGGGGGACTATGTAGAAGACAGAAAGGGCAAGGCCCACCCCCTCTGATGCCTTCCAAACAGTGTTAGGAATGGATTGCCTCTGGAGTGGCTTTAGTTCCTTTGGTAACCAACAACTCTGTCATTCTCTCCTACAGTTTGGTGCTCTGAAATGTCTCAATGTGGGAAAAGCTTATTTTTCCCTCTAGGAAGTTGGTTAAATGTGTGAAATGCACAGGGTTATTGATAGCAAGTGCTTGAAAATGCCTTTGGGAGATGGTGTTTTAAATCTAAACTGGTTTACTCAACAGAAATATGTCCCTTCTTTTGCAATGAAAATGGGTGCGACTGGAAAACATTAAGCTTAGTGAAATAAGCCAGTCCCAAAAAGACAAATATCCTGCTTATCTCACATGTGGTAATTTATATAGAATTCCAAAAAAAAAAAGGCATAGGGAAGAAGTGAACATCTTGTCATTCAGTTGTTTTTAACTCTTTCTTTATCTTCCTGTGGAACTGTGGTCTCTCTACTTTTTACTTGTTAAATACTATGGTTGCTGGTGAATTAAGCCTGTTATTCTAGAGTGGATTAAGTTATGTTTTTGTGGGGGACAGCACTGTGGTGCAGCGGCTTAAACCCAGGGCTGCAGGGCTGGCATCCTATATGGGTGCCGATTCGAGCCCCAGCTGCTCCACTTCCAATTCAGCTCCCTGCTTTGCTCCTGGGAAAGCAGCGGAGGAAGGCCCAAGTCCTTGAGCCCCTACACCCACGTGGAAGACATGGAGGAAGCTTCTGGCTCCTGGCTTTAGATCGGCCCAGCTCTCTCCATTGGGGTTATTTGGGTAATGAACCAGCAGATGGAAGACTTCCCTCTCTGTGTCTCTACCACTCTCTGTAATTCTTTGAAATAAATAAAATGAATCTTTTGAAAAACTAAAATTTTGTTTTTGCTAAAAGTGTAAAAAAGTAATGAAGAGAGGAGATGGTTTGTGGGAGAGCAGGAAGGAGTGAAATACATTTATCTCCTTAGAATTTTGCTTATGAAATACATGACATCTGTTCTCTTTACATTAATAAAAAAGTATAAAATATTGTTATAAAAATTGTAAAATGTTTATATAATTATAAAATTATAAAATATTCAGCATGCACAATATGATGCTTTCACAATTTGTATATAGTTAAATGGTCATTATAATCAAGAAAATCATCCTGTATCTTAGCTAACACAGCTACCATTTAAATATGAGTTTATCAAGTGGCATCAAGGAATTTTAAGTAGAACCTCCCAGAAAGGAGCATTACCTGATTAACTATATATCATTAATAACCATTTCTCTCCCTCTGCCTTTGTGTGAACCAGTTGTTTACAACCCACTAGAAATATGTTTTTGTTAATTTTGAGCAATTTGAAAACATCGGTTGCATACAGTAGGTATGCCCTGACACATTTTTAGTGTTAAAATACTTTTATTTAATGGGACAGTCCATTTATGCTTACAGCCTTTTTAAAGATAAACCATTAGTAAGTGGAAAAAATGACATACTAAGCATTTGTCTTGCAATTTTCACAGGGCACATGAGGAATTAACAGTGGTCAGAACTGAATTTCTTCAGGAGACAGATAGGAATGAACCTTTACCCAGCACTAGTACCATGAGGCCTGCTGTACCGTCATCCAGTGTTAGGAACGTTCGTGGTGGTTTAATGTGCAAAGGAAACCATGTCCCACAAAGAAAGTTAAGAATTCCTACCTCACAGCTACAGCTTTCACGTAACTGCACACTGGACTGCTCGTACATGGTTAGATATGTTGTGTTTTTTCCTTTGGGTTTTAGATTGATGATATAATCATTTTTGATTTGGTGAAATACTGATTATGACTGAGTGATAAATGCTAATTTTCACAATTGTCTTCATCAGATAGAAAGGAAATAAGTGTATGACTTTTCACTTCATAGAATAAATGGAACCAAATGAGCACATTTTAAATTTCTTAAAAGCTGCATTTATGTTAGCTTTTAGAAACTGAATATCTTTCCCTATAACTAAAGGTATAGTTTGGAATACGTTGGCTTATTTTCCAACTGAATTAGCACTGACTGTGGTTCAAGGCATTTGTTAATGTTTTGTTGCAACATCCAGGTTTTTTTGTTTATTCTTTTTTTAACTTTTATTTAATAAATATAAATTTCCAAAGTACAGCTTAAGGATTACAATGTCTTTTTCCCCCTCATAACTTCCCTCCCACCCACTACCCTTCCATCTCCTGCTCCCTCTCCCCTTCCATTCACATCAAGATTCATTTTCAATTCTCTTTATACACAGAAGATCAATTTAGTATATATTAAGTAAAGATTTCAACACTTTGCACCCACACAGAAACAAAAAGTGTAAAGTACTGTTTGAGTACTAGTTATAGCATTAATTCACATTGAACAACACATTAAGGACAGAGATTCTACATGAGGAGTAAGTGCACAGTGACTCTTGTTGTTGACTTAACAAATTGGCACTCTTGTTTATGGCATCAGTAATCACCCTAGGCTTTGTCATGAGTTGCCAAAGCTATGGAAGCATTTTGAGTTTGACGACTCCGATCTTATTTAGACAAGGTCATAGTCAAAGTGGAAGTTCTCTCCTCCCTTCAGAGAAAGGTACCTCCTTCTTTGATGGCCCATTCTTTCCAGTGGGATCTCACTCACAGAGATTTTTTTTTTTTTTTTGCCAGAGTGTCTTGGGTTTCCATGCCTAAAATACTCTCATGGGCTCTTCAGCCAGATCCAAATGCCTTAAGGGCTGATTCTGAGGCCAGAGTGCTGTTTAGGACATCTGCACTTCTATGAGTCTGCTGTGTATCCTGCTTCCCATGTTGAATCGTTCTCTCCCTTCTTAATTCTATCAGTTAATATTAGCAGACACTAGTCTTCTTTATGTGATCTTTTTGACTCTTAGACCTATCATTCAATTTTTCTACCTCTTGAATTAGAAATGTGATCCAAACATTTCATCACAAATGGATGCTTTTTAAAGAAATCCAGTATAAGTGCTTTTTTGTGAAGTATGTAAACCTGTAATAATAAAAAGATTAACTTTTTAAGTTTTTTGCAGTTTCTTCCATTAAAAAGGAAAATCCTCATTTGCTAATAATGCATTGCCATGCTAATGCTTGTAAAATATTTCTATAGCTGAGAAATGGCTCATCAGTTTTGTGACTTAAATCAAGATTTTGTTTCCATTTTAGAAATGAAATTCTAGTATTTCTGTCTTGTTATTGCTTGAATTATTGATAATGTATATGGCAATGAATCATATCTTGAAATAACAATTACCACCAAACTGAATTGACTATTTTCTTCCCACCAAGAATTCTGTACAAAGCTTCACAGTCCCATCTCAAATGAAATTAATTATTTTTATGTTGCTAGGCTTTATTCCAATGAAAAAGATGGTTAAATTATACACTTCTCCTATTAAAGGGGCATGCTCTTGGTCCTCTTTTTCTTACACCCTTGCCAATGATTTAAAGGCAAGCAGCACATCATTTTTTTAGAAAAAAAATTATTTAACAAATGTAAATTTTGAAACTACAACTTTTGGATTATAGCAGTTTTCCCCCCATAATCACCCTCCCACCTGCAAACCATCCCATCTCCTACTCCCTCTCCCATCCCATTCTTCATTAAGATTCATTTTTAATTATCTTTATATACAGAAGATCAACTTAGTATAAGTAAAGATTTCAACAGATTCACCCACACAGATGCACAAAGCATAAAGAACTGTTTGAAGAATATTTTTACCGTTAATTCTCATAGTATAACACATTAAAGACAGGGATGCTACATAAGTAAGTGCACAGTGACTCCTGTGTATCAGGAGTATATCAGGAGATAGAAGACCTCTCTGTCTCTCTAAGTCTTTTAAATAAGTCTTTTAAAGATTTTAAGTCTTTCAAATAAAAAATGTTAAAAAATTTGTATCCTAGGTTTCACCGGATGATGCAGGATGTTGTTGCATGAATTCAAAAATTGAAATCCAGAATTTGAAGAAGGAATTAAGTGACCTCAGGAGACAAGTATGTTGAAATTTAATGTGACAATAGAAATACTAAAGTTGATTATATATTGTAAGTTTTTGGATACAGTTTCACAAAACATAACATTTTCTATGTTCATTTTAATTAATTTAGTACGATTCTATTTTAATAATGCATTTAAACTCTCACTTTGCTATTTCCCTTAAAGTTAAATTTAAAAATTTAAAATATTATTTGCCCTTAAGAACTTGAAAATTATGCATTATTCCTCTTGAGCTGGCATATTTTATTTCCTTTGAAACAGTATTTATAGTGATACTTCTTACTGTCACGGTGAAGAAAGCCAGGTTTAATAAGAGTCTCAAGAGTGTTTAAGGAAATGCTGCAGAGACTTTTCATTGCTTATTTTCACTCTTGTGAATGGATACAGAGCTTATGTGTATTTATTTCATAGATTTAATAACTTGTACAGAAAGGCCATTATACTCTGCTCCAAAATATTTTCAGCTACTATAAGATCTATCTCAAATATAGACACTTGCTTCATTTTCCTTTAACTTCTTCATATAACAAAAGGATAGACCTATTCAAATCAACTGTGGTGTACACTCATGAGAATTAAAATTATCTGGATGATGACACTGGAGTGCATCAATTTATCGAGATAGAAAGGGGCTTACTAACATTCAAGTCTAATGTATACTCTGAAAAAAATGTTGGGCCAGCATTATGATGCAACAGGTTAAGCCATGGATAGTCACTCCAGCATCCCATGTTGGAGTGCCCATTTGCTCAGCTTCCTTCTTTTTTTTTTTTTTTTTTTGACAGGCAGAGTGGACAGTGAGAGAGAGAGACAGAGAGAAAGGTCTTCCTTTGCCGTTGGTTCACCCTCCAATGGCCGCCGCGGCCAGTGTGCTGTGGCCGGTGCACCGCACTGATCCGAAGCCAGGAGCCAGGTGCTTCTCCTGGTCTCCCATGCAGATGCAGGGCCCAAGCACTTGGGCCATCCTCCACTGCACTCCCTGGCCACAGCAAAGAGCTGGCCTGGAAGAGGAGCAACCAGGACGGAATCTGGCGCCCCGACTGGGACTAGAACCCGGTGTGCTGGCGCTGCAAGGCGGAGGATTAGCCTAATGAGCCGTGGCGCTGGCCTCAGCTTCCCTCTAATCTACCTAGGAAGGCAGCAGATGATGGCTCCAGTGCTACCCATTTGGGAGACCTGGATGGAGTTTGTGACTCCTGGGTTCAATCTGGTCCAGCCCTGCCCGTCACAACCATGTTGGGAGTGAACGAGCAGATGGAAGATCTGTTTTCCCTCTCACTTTTTTGTTCTGCATTTTAGGTGCATTTATTTTAAAAACACATTGGTTTAAAAAGTTTTACACCAAAATAACTTCTCTCTTAAACTCATTTTCTCATACAGTTATTACAGCACCCTCAAATATTTCACATACAATAAATTTCACATGTTTAAACTAATAAAATTCAATGTCCGATACTGTATTCCCAGCATTGTATGACCATTACCACTGTAAACTTAGGCATATTTTTCACCATCAAAATAAGCCTTGTATAAGTTATCAATAACCACTTCAGTCCCTCTGTCTTCTCTAGTCCTAGGCAATCACTTTCTTCAGGTCTCTACAGATTTACCTGTTCTTGACAGTTCTTATAGATAGGGTGCTACAGTATATTTTTCTTGGTAACTGGCTTCTAGCAGGTAGCATAATAATTTCACAGTTGATTCATGTTGTGGCGTGTATCAGAACTTCTTTCTATTTATTGTCAAATAATTTTTATTTTTTTAATTTATTTATTTGAGAGGTAGAGTTACAGACAGTGAGAAGGAGAGACAAAGATCTTCCTTCTGTTGCTTCATTCCCCATATTACATTCAACAGGAATGTATACATGAACTGAAGGAGATGAATTGAAACATGTGGTGATATTTTTCAAAGTACAGATTACACCCTAATAAACTCATTGTTAAATTGAAAATATCCTCAGTGAAAAATGCACTTACTACACCTAGTCTTGCCAACATCCTCGCTTGTGATTGTGGTTGACTGGGAGCTGTTTAACTGCTGCTGTTCAGTGTCATGGGAGAGCAGTGTCTGCATATCCCCAACTTGGGAAATGCTCCAAATTCAGAGTGTGTGTCCTAGAGAATGTGTATCACTTGTGCACAGTCATAAACATGAAAAATCAGAAGTCAGACTATCACAAGTCTGTTATAGGCTGAGTGTACCTTGGAATTAAATGTTCCAACTATGATTTAACAATAAAATTATAAAGTAGTGACAAAAATATCTTATTAGGTAGAGGTGAAACATTTTCAGTAGCAACTGGCTGACACCCTCAAAGATAATATCAGAGATTTACTGGAGCTCATAGTTCATTATTACCCTCTGTAAAAAGATGAGACAAAGGATGTAAGAACAAATGAAGTAAAATCAAAGATAAGCCCATAAGATATTCAACATGTGGAAGAGAAATTCTGTAGCTGGATAAAGAATGTAACTTTTTATATGTGAATTTCAATAAATACAGCTTTTTAAAATTTTCTGTATCATTGCAGTACACTTTTGTCATTACAGTGAATTTATTTCTTAAATTTCTGACATTCACTTGGCCCTTCTTGTAATTTCACTCTTTTTAAAATAATGCCCCTAGGAAAATTGAGGATTACATAGCATTTCTCATGGAAGTTGAGAGACATTTTGTTGTGTTAACAATATTGTAATATTATATTCCTATGGCTATGTGGAAACAAACCTATTAAATCACAGAATAAAATGTAATGAAATGCTCTAAAAATTTTCTATTTTTTGAATGTATACCTAGCCTATGTATCTTTATTTCATATATTTCAGAATAAATTCTATAGAACAAATTCTATAGAAACTCCATTATACTCTTAGACAAAATTCGTATGTTTTGATTAATTTACAATCTATTGGAAAAATTTGTCATACATGTTAGGCTATTCATGTATTCATATACAGATGTAAATACATCTGAACTAGAGAATTGTCTAGATCTTGCCACTATACTTTTTAAAATCAATGTGTTGAGATACAAGGGAGCTTCCTAAATGTACACTATGAAAAATATGCATTGGTTTAAAAAAGTTGCATGAAAATGAACTTATCTGTTAAGTCCATTATTTCCACAAACCTTTTCATGTAACCTCATATATTTTAAATAAGTTCATCCATTTAATTTAATAAAATTCACTGACCCTTAGGATATTTCCCAGAGTTATATGACCATCACAACTATCAACTTTAGCACATGCTTAGCAACCTAGAAAGAAACCTTATACCAGTTACCCATCGCCAATCAACTCCTCTATCTTCCCTAGTCCTGGGCAATCAAATTTTTCTCAGGTCTCCAAGGAGACATTTCATATAAATAGGGTCCTACAGTATGTAGTTCTTTATGACTGGCTTCTTGTATTTAGGTATTTTCTGGGTTCGCCATGTTGTAGCTTGTGTTAGTACTTTTTTATTGTCAAATATTCTTGTATTATATAGTGCAATACTATTCTGTTGTATAAATTACCCAGTTCATCAGTGGATTAACATTTAGGTGGTTTCTACTTTTTGACTATTATTAATGCTGCTTTGAGCATTCGTTTGCGAGTAATTTTGTGAGAATTAGTGTTTTCCTCCTTGCCATTGGATTCTATCCATCTCTGGCTTAACTGTACCTGTTTGCCATCTCTCCACTTTTCTTTGTGCTGTCCACTCTTCCTTTTAGTTTCTGTTCATCTAACCTTGTTTATGCAGATCGAGGCCCAAATTTCCCTTTTTTTCAGTAAGCTTTTAATTCTGTGACATTTTTATCTCTTACAGGCATAACTGTTTCCAGTACTTGTCAGCTACTTTGTACATAACAATGTAACCCTTAGTTTTACATAGCATTTTGTTTTTTTCATAGGAGATAATCTTCTCTAAATAGAAATGTAACTCAGAGGAAAATATCTGATGTGCATGTCACTTTTCCTTGAATATATTGAAGATAGTTTAGAAGACATTAAAATAAATACTTTATGCTGTATTAAAATGTATTTGTGAGACTTTGGCATATATTTTTCATATAAGTATTAGAAAATGCAATGTAAAGTCAGTACTGTATTCATAGTACATTTTGTATATCTCTTTATCCATTGATAGATATTCTAGTTATATCTATCCTTTTGGGTACTCCAAATATATGTTATCTGAAAACGTGTGTGGCTATCTTTTGGTGTCCTTGCTTATATTGTTAACGTCTTTTACACTGCCATGAAAGTTGAGTAATGATACATGTATGATTCTGAATACCAACTGTAATCCTAACTCTTCAGTGAGCCCTTGAGAATGAGTTATTTTGAGACTATAAATTTAATTCCTCATCAAGAATGGATACTAAATTATTGTGGAAGCTTTATTTTCACCATGGAATATACTTCCTCTGGATTTTTGTTTTTTTATTTTTTGATAGAGTGGACAGTGAGAGAGAGAGAGACATAGAGAAAGGCCTTCCTTTGCTGTTGGTTCACCCTCCAATGGCCGCCGCGGCCAGCGCGCTGCGGCCAGCGCACCGCGCTGATCCAATGGCAGGAGCCAGGTGCTTCTCCTATCTCCCATGGGGTGCAGGGCCTAAGTACTTGGGCCATCCTCCACTGCACTCCCAGGCCACAGCAGAGAGCTGGCCTGGAAGAGGGGCAGCCAGGACAGAATCTGGTGCCCCGACCGGGACTAGAACCCGGTGTGCCGGCTCCGCAAGGCGGAGTATTAGCCTAGTGAGCCGCGGCGCCGGCCTTCTCTGGATTTTTAAAAGGAAATAGTTGTAAGAGAAAAGATAAAAATGACTACTATGACATGGTTTTGCAGAGTGACATAGTGCTACCACGACAGCATGTATAAAAACAAGCTTTTCCCCTACTGTGCTCATCAACCTTTACACAGGCTTACTTTATTCAGTTCATATCAGTGTGCAATGGCTCTTAAGCTTGTTCATAATTCTTGAGGTATTTTCTGTAAATTCTTGTAGCAATGACTTAGGAATATGGCATAGAATTATTAGTCACTTTCAAGGGTACCCTCTGTCAAAAGTATAATAATCGATGGCATTTGACCAACTCAATAGTAACTAATTTTCCAGAAGGTTCTCATCTCACAAATGGAGGTTCTCATCTACCAGAGAGTACTTGGGTTGATATATTTTATGGACACAACTTGGAAGAGAAGAATTGGATTGGGAAATAGAGATATCTGACTCAGGCCTCCAAGTAATATAGTTAGGTTTATGTCTGAAGAGAACCTCAACAGACTGCTAAAGTTGTATCTATGGCAGAGGGGATTCCAACGAAAATGGAAGTGACCCATAATTTGATGCCTGTGAAAAGTCTTGCATTAGAAAAGAATTTCAACATGAAGTATGCTGGTCAACATCCTAACAATCTAGTATCAATATTAGAAAACAATGCTAGGATCAAAGACACACCCTTTAGAATCATTAGCAAATGTACTAGACTAGTTGTCTGCAAAGGTATCCCCATCAGGTAACGGTTTGTGTGGGTGTAGTTGAAGATTTAACCTATGAGAAATGAAAGAGAAGTAAGAAATGGCCTGAGCGATGAAGTGAGGCCTAGGAGTATAGATTAAGCAACTTCAGGTGAAGCATTGAGACTTAAGGAGCTTTTGAGACAGACTTAGAAATGGAATACAAAGAGTGGTTGAGTAGAATCCAGCAGTCACTGCATTTAGAAGTGAAGTGGGCTTATGGGAGCCAAGAGAAAGGTCTAATCACTAATTGCTACTGCTGCTGTGGATGAAAGCAGTGGAAGCACTAAACAAAGCATCCTGGATATGTCTCAAAAATATTGCATTGAATTATACCCTTGGAAAACATATTTAGGGCCAGGGAGTTGCACAGTCATCTATGTGACCCCACAATTATCTGTGTATCAGGCCATGCATTCACATAGGACAGTACAGAAAAAAAAACACAAGAATCAAATATGGTAAATACTTGTATTTTATAGAAAAGGTAAACTTTGTTTAAAGTTAAGTCATTAATGTCAAAGGAAAAAAAAGAAGCTTCTAAACACGGTTAAAAAATGATCTTGTTTATCTCATCCTGAAATCAGGTGAAGATGAAATATGTAGTAAGAATCAAATGTGAATTTTTCCAAAAATCCTATTAGTAGCATATGATTTAATTAAACCTGGAATATCTTGAATATTCAAGTTTTTGGACAAAAGTTTCTAGGGAATCTTTAGAATGTAAAATGTAACCACTCTTTCAAAAATAGCTGTTTACGGGCCAGCTACATTGCACAGTAATTAATCCTCTGCGTGCGGCACTGGCATCCCATATGGGTGCTGGTTCTAGTCCTGGCTGCCCCTCTTCCAATCCAGCTCTCTGCTATAGCCTGGGAAAGCAGCAGAAGATGGCCCACGTGCTTCTGCCTCTGCATGCGCATGGGAGACCTGGAAGAAGCACCTGGCTCCTGGCTTTGGATTGGCACAGCTCTGGTCATTGTGTCCATCTGGGGAGTGAACCAATGGAAGGCCTTTCTCTCTTGTCTCTCCCTCTCACTGTCTGTAACTCTACCTATCAATTAAATAAATAAAATAATCTTTAAAAAATTTTTAAAAAATAAAAAGTTGCTGTTAAAAATAATTCATTAACAGTATTTGGGTTTTTTAAACTCTGTATTTGTTTTTCATTTTTACTAGAAAGACAGAAAGAGAGGGACAAACTGAGGATGAGAGAGGGGGTGAGAAAGAGATCTTTCATTTATGGGTCCACTACTGAAATACCTACAGTAGCCTAGAGCTGGAGCCCAGAATTCAATCCAGTTCTACCATGTAGGTGCAGGATCCAAGCACTTGAGACATCATTTGCTGTTTCACTGAGTGTTCATTAGCAGGAAGCTAGATTAGAATCCAAGTTGGCCAAACTCCATGCAGACATTCTGATTTGGGTTGCAGAAATCTCTAGTAGCATCATAGCCACCGTACCTCTATCTTTAATGAATGAATTTTGATAATTTGAAATCCACAAAAGATAGTGTTGAAAGTGTAAGTCAACCTGAACTCTTTTTTGGGAAGTCATTATTTTTGAAATCTGATTATCATCAGATTTTATAGAATATTACTCATTAACTCACGGGGAATAATACTTTTAGAAAGAAGCCTATATTTTAAAAAATAATTTTCACATTTTCTTAAGTCTAAAGATGAACAGCAACACATAATGCTGCTTGCTGAGTTAAATCAAGCTCTGCAGGACAAACTGGATGAAGAGATGAAGAAAAATGGTGATTTAGGAGACAAGATAACTCAGTAAGATTTTAGTATTTCAGGTTATATCAATTATTCTTTAATTAACTTATCTATAGTTTGACTATATTAAAGCCTAAATACACATTTTCTTATGTTTTCATAATTGAACTGTACCCTGCAAAAGTTTACTTCTGAAACTCACAGAACCATCTGGAACCTTTTATATTTTTTGAATCCCAAAATATAACATTTTCTGTTTCATGATTTCATAAACAGTAATAACAATGCCCTGGCACATAATGTCAACTGAATTCTTCTTAATGTATCTTCAACTTCTTTTTCTGGAGATGCATTTGCTGTCTTTGATAATGTTTCCATTTTTGGTAACGATCTTCTCTTAAACATCCAAATATTCAAATATTTAAAATATATCAGCATCATTCTTTCATAAAATTAAAATTTATATTTTTTAGCTATAAAATATTTCATGAGATGTGCTAATTTTCTTTGTGTATAGTGTATATATACAGTATATATACTGTATATACTGTATGCATTTAACTGTTTTAAATATATATATGTACCTATTGCATGTATATATATGTATATATATATGTATATTATATTTGATACATAAAAATGTATGACCTCTTCCAGGCCAGCTCTCTGCTGTGGTCCAGGAGTGCAGTGGAGGAAGGCCCAAGTGCTTGGGCCCTGCACCCCATGGGAGACGAGGAGAAGCACCTGGCTCCTGCCTTCGGATCAGCATGGTGCGCCGGCCACAGTGCACCTGCCGCAGCGGCCATTGGATGGTGAACCAACGGTAAAGGAAGACCTTTCTCTCTGTCTCTCTCTCTCACTGTTCACTCTGCCTGTCAAAAAAAAGAGAAAACAAACTTCCAAGGTCAGAGGAGTCCTTTAATTCTTACCTCTCTCTATTTTTATTGCAAACTAGAAACTACTGGATTTTCTAATTTTCAATTTCTGGAAAAATGGAGCCTCCTGTGATTTTATTGGAGTTCATCCTATTAGACAATAAATATTCAGAAATACTGCCTTTTGAAAATTTGATTTTACCTGAGACAAAGAAGTTAGGGGAGAGAGAGTGTGTGAGTGAAAGCAAGATAAAGAGCACACAAAACATTCCCATTCACTGGTTTACTCCTAAAATAACCAGATCTCATGTGAGGCCAAAGCTAAGAGCTGGGAACTCAAGCCAGGGGTCCCATGTGATTTATAGGAACCCAATTACTTGAGCCATCCCTGCTTCCTTCCAGTGCCTACATTGGCAGAATGGTAGACTCAGGAGAAATAGGCAAGTAAAAAACAAAAGCACTCTGATGCCCAGTCCCACGAATCTTTTTGACATAATCTCTTCACCTTGGGCTTCCAGAGGAGCCAGAATAGGACATATTGTGAATGTTCTTTAACTCCTAAGACCCATATGGTGATTTGAGGCACCACCTAAAGTTTTTCTGAAGTTTTACTGTCCATTGTACAGTCATCATCTTTGCTTCATCTCTGGATCCTGTTTGCCTAGCAGCACTCTGGATTTGATTTTATTCCAGAAACCACCTTTTATTTTATTTTATTTTTTTTACAATTGCATGGTGATTTGTTATGTGGAGATGCTGTAATTCACATATATGGATTTAGATACTTGAACCCAATAAGTCATAGCTCCTTTAAATTTGGTAGTCTTCCTTTAGTTTCTCTCTCACATCAGTTTTACCTTCAGCTTCCTGAAGAATGGGGCCCTTGTCTTCCAGGTCTTGGTATCCTTTCTTGACAGTTCCTTCAGAACCTCAAGTTTCCACACAGTCTCTTTGATGTCCTTTTGGTTTTCATTCCTCCTCTTTTGTAGGCCCTTTCAGCTTCCACCTCCCTCTGGTCTGAAGACATTTAACCTATTGTAGTCTTTGTTTCAATTTCCTAAAGTTACAACTCCCTGTATCTAGTGTCACCATGTAGTGTATCTGGGGCACCACCTTCTGTTGCCCTCTCAGGCACATTTGTAGGGAGCTGAACCAGAAGCAGAACACCAAGGAGTTGAATCAGTGCTCCAGTATGGAATTCCAGCATCACAGCCAGCAGCTTAATATACTGTACACAATGCCAACTTTGTTTGGTGTTGATAGTTGCTTTTTTTGGACCTTACCTGGGACATCAGTTGGAATATCAATATGTTGTTTCACTTTCTCGTCTTTGGGTGGCTAATTTCTAAGTCCGAGTTTGCTTGAGAGATTCAGGTGGAAGCAGCATCACATTTTACAGCCTAGCAAAAGTCACTCAGCATGTGTCCCTATTCTGTTCACTAGATACACAGTGCTTTGTCCAGCTCACACTCAGGAGAAAATTTCATGGAAAAATTGTCAAAGGGTTTGTAGACATGCTCTAAATGTACTACTTTTAAGTATCAGTTAATGGTTTTATTTGAGGGAAATGACTCCTTCTCCACTCAGTACCAGGGAAACTCCATCAAGCTTTTCTCTTGCTATTGTTTAATATGTGCCCTTATTTTGTGGAAAACATCAAATGATGACAAGTCAGTTTCATTGACTGAAACATTTTCATTCACAAAAGTATACAAATCACATCATAAACTTTTATCCTCTGAATTGTGATTTCTCATTAACCTCAAGGGGAAAAATGGAATTTAGGAATTATAGTGTAGTTTTAGTTGCTTTAATTGCTATTCACTTTTAATCAATGCTTATATTCTTTGATAACTAATTTACATGAGTAGTAATGTAATAATGGTATTGTTTTCATTATAATTCAAATTTCATTCAATGTGTATTGAAGATAAATATTTTAAACTTTGGCTTGTTTTTTACTTTAAAATTTCTCTGAGAATCACTGATTCAAAACTAAAAGAAATAAATAAAAACATTAATATATATTTTAATGATTTTTTTAAATTACCTTTTTATTTTGCTTTAGAAAAAAGCATCATCTCAAAAAAGTTCCGAGTATCTAATGGAGAGTGATGACATTTCAAAAAGTATACAAAAAGAACAGAGAATCCATGTTGGGATATCTACACTCTCCAAAATGAAAGCTCCTCAGGAAGCCATTTCTAAAGAATTGGAGGAATATAAGCAACTCCTTCTAGAGGGATTTGAAGCTTTGATAAGCAAACAAGATGAGATCATTCAGGGTGTAGAAGCTTTTTCAAAGCAAGTGAATGAGTAAGTCAAAACATAGAATTGCAGACAATAGCTTACATTCGCTAATTTGCCACTAAAGCATAATTCTTAGTGAAAGAGATTCCTGAGATTAGTAAGGATATAATCTACCTAGACAAAGTGATTTTGGAAAATAATGTTAGTAAATGAAATTACCAGTAAATTTTTAGTGCAGAACAATTTATGTAAATGTTAACAACTCTGTTAACTTAAGTTCAAGATTACAACTTAAGTGTCTAGCATCTCTTCCTCCCCCTCCTCCACCTGTTGGTACAATATGGCACTTGTCTAGTTACCTTTCCTTTATTGTGATCATTGGTATTACTACCAAAGGACGCCTTGAGAAAGATTAAGAAAGAGAGGAAGGAAAGTGTAGTGTCTGGAAGCAAGTCCCACCTTTGATGTCTTCCTAGCTGCTTTAGTTGTTGCTGAATACTTACTTGGCTATCTCATTCCCCACAGTCATTGTTGTTCTGAGTTATCTCTCAATGCCAAAAATCAAGCATTTGCTTAATTTCTCCCAAAAAGTGGGTGAAAAAAGCAGGGCTGTCGAAAGTAAGCACCTGAAAATGTTTTTGGTGGTATTCTAAATCTCTTAGTTTTCTATCCTTTTTAAACAGTTACTGTTTCATATATTTAAGTGGCAAAACATGATGTTTTCAAATATTTATATATTAGAAAATGTTTACTAGCATCGAAGAAATCAACATCCATTATATCAGAATTGTTATTTAAATAAAATATTTCTAATGGCATGCGCAAGGATATTTGAGAATAGAGCCTTTTGGGAGGAAGCAGATGTCACCGATTCAGTCATACAGCATTGACAGGCATCCTTCTCCCTTGTACTGGGTTTGAGTCACGTTGTGAAATTTTTAACTTTAAAAATTAAAAGACCTTAATTATACAGAAAATGTGCTCTGACACATTTTCAGTATTAAAGCACTGTTTATTGTGCATGCTCATTGACTCTTTTAAAAAATGAAATTCATGTAAGAATTATTAAGGGGAAAATGAAGTACTAAACATTGGTCCTTTCAATCTTCACAGAGCTAATGAAGTGTTAGCAGAGGTCAGAACTAAAAATTTTCTCCTGGAGAAACAACAGACTGGAACATTAACCAAGTCTGTTTCTACGCAAACTGTTTCTACGCAAACTTCGGTAGCGTCACATAGCGTTGGAAGTCGTGCTAATAGTTTCTGGCTCAGCAGAGCTCTTACTCCACAACAAAACTTGGAGACTCCTACTTCAGCAACTCAGGCTTCACATCACAACACTGCAGAGTCTTTGGACACGGTTAGATATATTGCCTCTTTCCCCTTGGGTTTCAGGTTGTTCATATACTTCTTATTTTTAGTTTGTTGAAGTACTTAGTTTGATTGACATATGGATGCTAGTAATGGTTGTAATTATCCTCATTAATGTAGACTTGAAACGCATGTTGCAGCTAATTTTTAAATATATATTTATTTATTTGAGAAGCAGAGATACAGACAGAGGGAGAAACAGAGAGATCTTCCATTTGCGATTCACTCCCCAAATGGGTGCAAAAGCTGGAGCCTATCCAATCTGAAGTCAGAAACCAGTGGCTTTCTCCAGGTCTCCCATGCAGATGCAGGGGTCCAAGCACCTTGACCATCTTCCACTGCTTTCCCAGGCAATAGCAGCGAGCTGGCTCAGAAGAGGGGCAATGGGGACAAGAACCGGCACCTGTATGGGATTTCAACACTGCAGGCAGAGGCTTAGTCCACTATGCCACAGTGCCATCCTCAATATTTCGCAACTATTTAATAAACTTAACAAATGCAACCAAACTGACATATTTGCAAACATTTCAAAACTGCTTTAAGTTAGGTTTTGATAATTGAATATTTTTACCTAGTAATTAAAGATATACTTTGAGATCTGCTAATATATCTTTAACTTGATTTTCACTTGTGGTCCAAGACACTTTTAAGTTTTGTGCACCATCACATAATGCCTTCACCTATGATTTCACTATGACTGTTGTTAAAGCAAGGTTTCTCCATGTTCCTAACATTGAGCATTTTTTGAATCTCACCATTATATGAAGTTTAACCTTGCCACTTAACACACTTACAGTGATAATAAATGGCTACATGTATGTTTTTTGCTAAATTTTCATTCCAAACTGGAATTCTAATTTAATCCGAGCATGTTTTGGCCTGTGTATAAGTGATTCTATAATTTTATTATTTGTTATACAAATACATTATTATAAAATAACAAGAATGAAAATTAGCCTGAAAATTATCCACTGATTGGATATTTTGCATATAGAAATCTTTGTTGACCATTGAAATATAAAATATTGAGACCAGTTTTTATAGGGTAAAACTTATCTGCTTGTCAAGAAACTGCTTCCAAATTCTTTTCTCTGCAACAAAATACATGTATTTAATACTTGTAAAACTGTAAAAATATTTGCAAAATTATAAAAACAATGTAATTTATAAACTGGCAAGTATAATTTCCTCTGTATGTTAAAATAGTTATAATTCTATCTTGAACTACAACAGTTTAAATGGGCAAACTAACTTTTTATTTTGTTTAAACTCAGTACATATTTCCTACTTCTTAAAATATTTATGTGATGGACAGAATTATAGAGAGAGAAGAGAGGCAGAGATACAAATCAGTCTTCCATTCACTGGTTCACTCTTTGAATGACCACAATGGCTGGGGTTTGGCCAAGCTGAGGCCGGGAGCCAGGAGCTTCTTCCAGGTTTCCGACATGGCTGACAGCTTACAAACACTTGGACCATCTTCCACTGCTTTCCCAAGTGCATGAGCAGGGAGATAGACTGCATGGAAGCAGAGCAGTCAGGACTTGAACTCACACCCATATGGGATGCCAGAGCTGCAGGCAGCAGCTTAACTTGCTGTGCCACAGTGCCAGTCCCACATACTGATTTATAAAAGATTTGAGTTCTCCCTCAAATACAGCAGGATGTCAAACTATAATTTCAACATACCAATAATCACTGAAAAACTATAGAGAGGTGTGCATATGTGCAGTGTTCATAGCTATGAAATTAATCTCTAAAAGACAATGCTGCATTATTTTCTGAGCAGCAATCTCAAGTATAATTTAGCCATAGCCTGTCAGTACATCATTACTGAGTGAGTACATTTGTTTCTGTATTTGATGTGCTTTGTTACTGCTATGGAGTTCACTTTCTGAAATATCCCTCCAACTCTTCTCCATCTTTCAAGTGTTATTTAAAAAGAATTTTCAGAAAGACTGCAAACTCAAGGGAGAAAAACACATTTCAATTTTGGTTTCATATTGATCTTTTTAGTAATTTTCTTGTTGGAATTGTTGACTTTTAGGTAGCAAGTGGCACTCCCTTTCCCTTTCTGAGTTCATTGGAATTACAGCAGCCTGCACATAAATTGGTCATCTGACACTGGACTCAGGTGACCCAAGCAGCATTTTAAGCTCTGCACCAAATACCTGCCATGAAAGTGTCTTGTAAAAGGTCATCTAATATTTGAAAGTTTTCACTTGTGGGTATGAGCTGAACCACAACAACCTCCTACCAGTAAGGATGAAAACAGTATTCAACACTCAAGGCCCTTTGACTAATTGCTCTTTGAAGGGAAGATCCCTCCCTATACTCTGGATATTTGGTTTTACACTATGAGATTGTATATCAAAGGCAGTTGTCCTCAGCTGTCATATCTGGTGTAAAGCAGTAAAGAATGAAAGAAAACCTGGAGGAGAATTTTTGTAAAGGGAGGCCACTTCTACAAGTACCCATTACTTTAACATTCAGTTAGCCATCCATCCATCCATCCATCCATGCATCTATATATGTGAATGATAGCGCAACAGGGAGAGCAAGAAATCTTCCATCCAGTGATTCACTCCCTGAATGTTGACAACTGCCAGGATGGACCAGGCTGAATCAGGAGCCTGGAACTCCAACTGGGTCTCTAACAAGTGTAGCATAAACCCAGGCATCATTGCCACAATCTGCTGCCATCCAGGCACACCAATAAGAAGCTGGATTTGAATAATGGATGAAAGCTGATCCCTAGATACTCTGATGTCATCCTGTCACACCACAATGCCCACCATCCATGTATTCATTTTCCCCCCAATCCTGGGGTTTATTGATTGCATTAAAATTTCTAAAAATTTTAAGTGTTTTTTTTATTTTAACTTTTAATTAGTTTTTAACAGACTCATTTTACTTTGTACATGTAGTCCTAAGGACCTAATAACATTCCCCTCCACCTTTACACTCTCCCCATCTCTCCCTCCCAAACTTTTTCCTCCCCCCCTTATTTTTAGTTTTTGAGATAACATTTCAAATTTACATTGCAGTACGAAGGCTTAACACTTCCCAGAATAAGAAGTTTAACAAGCAAAATCAAAAGACCCTAGTTTAGTGGGAAAAATAGACAATGGTATAAAAATAATGTACAATAAATTCTGAAGTAGTCACAGATCATTGAAACTACAGTAATATAACACATTTAACCACTGGATTCACAAAGATATATAACAAAAGTTTACCAAACAGTCTTTTCAGTAATGCTAATACACATAGACATTTCTTTTTTCTTCTATTTTATTTTTAATTTTAGCCCCTACAAATAAAGGAGAGCATGCAGTATTTGTTTTTCTAGGTCTGGTTTATTTCAGTCATCCTGATGTCCTCCAGTGGCATCCATTTGGCTTCAAGTGGTAGAATTTCCTTCTCTTCTTTATACCTAAATAATATCCCATTGTGTATATCTACCACATTTTCTTTATCCATTTTTCTGATGGTGGACACCTTCATTGATTCCCAATGTTGGCTCTTGTGAAGAGCTTCTATGAACATAATTATGAAGGTATCTCTTAATAGTATTCAAGTCTTTGAGATATACCCAATGTGGGATTGTTGGATCATATGGCAAATCTAGTTCTAGTTTGTTTTTTTTTTTTCAGATATCTCCACACTATTTTCCACAGTGGCTTCAGTAATTTATACTTCCAAAAATAGTGTTCTCCTTTCTCTACATCCTCACCAGTACTCGTTGCTCTCTGTTTTGGATTTTAGCCATTTTGACAGGGGTGAGGTGATAGCTCATTGTGGTTTTGATTTGCATTTCCCTGATGGCTTGGGATGCTGAGCCTGTTTTCACATATTTGTTGGCCATTTGTATTTCTTCTTTTGAGAACTGTCTATTAAAGTCCTTTGCCCATTTCTCAACTGGATTATTTATTATTGTTGAGTTTTTAAAGTTACTGATACATCTGGAATATTAATCCTTTGTCAGAAAAGTGATTTGCAAATATTTCCCCATTCTTTTGGATGTCTCTTCACTCTACTGATTATTTTCTTTGCTGTGCAAAAGCTGCTGAGTCTGATATAGCCCCATTTATTTAGTTCTGCTTTTGTTGGCTGTGCTTGGGGATCTTATCCAATAAGCCATCCCCTACAGCAGTGTCTTGGAGTGATTTTGCTATGTGTTCTTCCAGCAACTTCATAGTCTCAGGTCTAAAATTTAAGTCTTTTATCCAGCTTGAGTTTATTTTTGAATACGGTGATAGGTATGGATCTAATTTCATTCTTCTATACATATAAATCCAGTTTTGCTTGCACCATTTGTTCAAGAGACTATCCCTACTTCCACTGTTTGGTCTGAGCAATTTTGTCAAAAATCAGTTGGCTTGTATGTATGCAGATTGATTTCTGAGCTCTCTGGTCAGTTCCATCATTCTATGTATTGTTTTTTTTTTACTTTTATTTAATGAATATAAATTTCCAAAGTACAGAATATGGATTACAATGGCTTTCCCCCCATAACTTCCCTCCCACCCCCAACCCTCCCCTTTGCTGCTCCCTCTCCCCTTCCATTCACATCAAGATTCATTTTCAATTCTCTTTATATTCAGAAGATCAATTTAGTATAAATTAAGTAAAGATTTCAACAGTTTGCTCCCACACAGAAACATAAAGTGAAAAATACTGTTTGAGTACTAGTTATAGCATTAAATCTCAATGTACAGCACACTAAGGACAGAGATCCTACATGAGGAGTAAGTGCACAGTGACTCCTGTTGTTGACTTAACAAATTGACACTCTTGTTTATGGCATCAGTAATCACCCTAGGCTCTTGTCATGAGCTGCCAAGGTTATGGAAGCCCCCTGAGTTCACTGACTCTGATCTTATTTAGACAAGCAAACTTTCAAAGTGAAAGTTCTCTCCTCCCTTCAGAGAAAGGTACCTCCTTCTTTGATGACCCATTCTTTCCACTGGGATCTCACTCGTGGAG